CGGCGCGCGCGCGCGCGCGAGCGCTCGGGGGCTTACCTCCTTACGATTGAAATGTTTCCCCGCTGCCGCTGCTACGTTCACCTTTCACGGTGATGCGTCCCTCGCGTCTTCCTCGATCTCGCCGCTACGTCATTCTCTGATGCGCCTTACCTCGCGTGCCAGAGATTCGGCCGTCGTGGACCTCCGCATTTTGCGCGATGCCATGAACGAAAGTCGCTCGTGGTCGTTCGGAAAGCGTCAGTGTGGCCAAATACGACGAGCACGGCCTCTCAATGAGAATCATCTTTACGCGGCAAATCGGGAAAGTAAAATGGCCGAAGGATTGGACAAGTGTTTCAGTCGATACTGCCGCACTCACTCAGCGGGAGAAGGAAAGGCACGTTGATATCTGATATTTTACTCGGCCAATACAAACGACATCTATAAAAAATATTCTATTTAATGAAGTTGGAAGTCTGCTCGAGCGAAGCACAAGTCAAGAAGCAGAATATTTCATATAAAATATAATTATAAGGTAAAATATGTGTACATAATACTCTCTCCTCCAATTTTCTTGTAATTTTTTGTAAATTTATATATTTTTTATGTATATATAGAATATATTGAATATATCTGAGAAGGAAAATCGTCACGCAAATCTTTTTTACTTTCAAAGTTTTGACGTCGGTAAATTAGAAAATGAAAATTTAATAATAATCATATTGATCATATTTATCAATTTTCTGCTTTAATTAATTAAAAAAATAAGTTATTTTATATAATTTAAATCATAGCAGAGAATAGTTGGTGATTTAAAATTTATTTTTCTTTTATTCTTTTTATATAGATTGAAATATCAAAAAATTTTGAAATTATAAAAAGAAGAAGCGAGATTTGAGCGATGATTTTCCTTTAATGTTAAATTATAATTTTTATTAACGTCAAATATATCAATAATTTTAAAACTTAGTTATTATTTTCTGTATTATATTGTTCATTCTATAAATTTATATTATTTATTTAAATATGTTAAATAATTCAAGTAAGTAATTTTAAAAATTACACGGTACAATTCTCATATATATGATATAATAAAAAATAAAATTGATAATAATAAATAAGATTGGTATTTTAGAATTTTTAAGTTGCTGAAAGAGTAAGGTTGGTAATGCAGAACTCTTTCAAGAATATAATAGAAAAGTTAGGTTATGATTCTCCTGTTTATAATGGTTTACAGATCTGATATTTGTTGTTGATACGTGCATGCAAAGGTGTTAATCTCCAAACCTTTAATTATCAAGTTTTTCACATCTTAATTTTTTTCTAATAGAGATTCTTTTTTTTTTATATTTGTGATATTGTTAATATAAATATTATTAGTATAAACATGGATTCGAAGAAGTTAACTCTGTCGAGGAGTATATTGGAAATGAAGGTGAGTTGTGAAAAAGAACAAATCTGAGAATCGC